GACAGCGCAGGACAGGGGACACCGAGAGCGGGGACAGGAGCGGGGACAAGAGCGACAATGCCCGACAGACCCCTCTGCCAGGGCCCTGCTATGGCCAAGGGAAGGAGGCAGGGGAAGGGAGAGCAGCTCAGCACCCCCCTTTTTCCCCTTCAAACAGCCACAGGCACCTTTGTTAAGGAAGAGGATTTATCAAAATTAGAAAAAGACATCACAAATATTTTAAAAAAGCCCCAGCTGGGAAAACATCTACCAGTTCAAATCCCCCCACCCACCCTCCCCTCATTACCCCAGCACAGGGAAGGGACATGGGATGTCTGGGAGGGGGAGAGGCAGGCTGTGCTCCCAGAGCTGCCCTTGCCACCAGGCTTTTGGGGACAAGGGGACAGTCACGTATCTCATCACTGCTGGGGAGCCTGGTCACAGCAGAGCAGCTCCCATGGGAGGCTCCTCAGCAGCCACCTTCAGTGACTGATTTTCTTTGGCCGCTTGCCTTTGGAATGAGCCCCCCACGCCCCAGAGAGGAGGCAGCAGAGGGGGGCCTGCCAGAATCCCCCCATTCTCCCCAGCACACAGCTGCCTGTTTATGAAGCTCCCAAGAACAGGACACACTGAGCTGAGCCCCAGGTCACAGCCCTGCCAGGCTGGCAAGGAGATGAGCCAGCTCCTTGGCCCACCTGTGCCAAGCTCCCACCCTCGAGGGCAGGCAGGTGTTGCCTCCCTGGGGGCAGCAGCGTCATCAGGAGTCGTTGGGGAGCCCGAAGAGCTTGACAGTGCCAGCCTCCCTGCTGCTGTCATATTTGCCATCTTTGTCGTCACAGGCGAAGGCCAGCAGAGGCCTCTTGGGGTGCCAGGCCACTGTGAAGGTGGGGGACTCACACTGCACCTCCCAGAGCTTCTCTCCTGCATGGAAAAGGAGCCCCGTGAGCCTGGAGAGCCTCCAGCCCCCTCTGCTGCTCACCTCCCCGAGCCAAGCACCTGCTGCTTCCCTCAGCGAAGGGCAGAGGCAGCACAAACGCTGCTCCAGCGCCTTTTAGACACCCAGTGACAAGGTACAGACATGACAGGCAGGCCTGCCACAGACTTCTGAGGCACAGGCTCCCCCTCATGGCATTCTCTGCACAGAAAAGCTCTTCCTTAGCAGATGGATTCTCCCTGTGTCCTCCCAGCTCCACCAGCACTTCTCCATCCAATTCCCTCCTTGCTGTTCCCCAAAACAAAACCATTACCTGTCTCCACTTCAGCAATGTCAATGAAGTGATCTTCTGATGCTGAGGCCAGCATCTTCCCATCATGGCTGAAGCTCAATGTCCGCACGGGCCAGTCGAGCCTGCAGCAACCCAGGGCAGCAGACAGTGAGGCACTGCCACCACAGTCCCCAGAGAGGGGGAAAACAACTCTGGGACAGCTCTACCTACCTGGAGAAGCACCTCACACACACCAGCTCATCCACATCCCAGAGGCTGACCAGTGCATCAGCACTGCCCGTGGCAAAGTACTTCCCCATGGGATCAAACTTGATGCAGATGCAGTTGGAAGGATGGGCGTTGATGGACTGGATGGGTTTCAGCTCTGGGTAGCTGTGGAGGAGAAGGGAGAGGGCAGGGAGCAGTGAGAGAAGCACAGGGATTTCCTAGAGCAGGGCAGGCATGAGGCACACCAGGACTGGAGCAAACCCTGCCGAGGCAGGACTCGCTGAGTGTCCAGTGAAGGAGGCAAAGCACCAGGGACCATTTTGGGGAGCTGAGCCCAGCCCACAGCTGTGGCAACCTCAGCTCCAGGCAAGCTCATTCCCACCAGAAGGCAGGGGATTGCTGGGATGTGGGGCTCAGCTTTCCCAAAACAGCAAAGGCACTTGCAAATGACTGCAGCCAGCCCAGCCCACCAGCAGCCAGGGGCACCTGCCTGAGGATGTTGATGCAGCCATTGCCATTGGTGAGGAAGAACATGTTGTTATCGTTGTTCCACGAGATCTCGTTCACCTCAAACTTGAACTGCTCCTCAGCTTTGGAGCGATGTGTCTTGGCATCAATGAAGGTGACCACATCATCCTTGTTCCCCACGGCAATGGTCTGCCCGTCAGGGCTCCAGCAGATGTTGATGTTCTCACCTGAAAGGACAGAAAGGTAGCAGGTCCCACTTCCACTCCAAACCACTCCCAAATGGGAAAGACTGCCAGTTCTTCAGTCTAACACACAAACCCTGCACAGCAGCTATCCAGCAAAACCAAACTTGTGACAAGTACAGCTTGAAGACAATATGCCACAGCCCATTTCAGCCAAGATGGGGCCACAGTAATCACCACAGAATGTCACGCCAAAGATCCTCTGAATCCAGTCATCTCTGAGATCCAGAAAAAGCAGAAGCCAAAAATACCTTTGAATAAAAATAAGAACATGGCAGGTTCCTATTATACAACTTTACTGTGCCATTCCCAGCCCCAACAACTCAAAACTGGACAGATCATAGATGGTATTTGGGTTAAGCATCACATGAATTCAAACTGTTTTTCTGAGTCCACACAAACTTTTATTTCCACCACAGCTCTCTATAAATATGCTTTTCCCCAGTGTCCAGCCTCTCAGCCCACTGACTCCAGAGACAAGTACAAAGGACATTTTAACAGCCAGCAGCATATTTCAGCAGTTCTACCAGTCCTGACCCTACAGTAAATCAGCTCTCACATGATAAGTGCTACACAAATATAAAGCAGTTAGCAGAGATGTCCCAACCAGAAATAACCACAGGAAAGGTGCAAAGCTTTGTGCCACTGCAGATGGGTCCCACACAGCTGAGGTTCTGCTGGGACCCAGCTGGGAAGGCAGGACTCACCTTTGGTGTTGACAGTGGCGATGCACTTGGTGGTGCGGACGTCCCAGATGCGGATGGTTTTGTCCCCTGACGCTGTGACAAACAGGTCCGGGTTGCTGGGGTGCCAGCAGAGTTGGTCCACGCTGTCCCCGTGGCCGCGGTAGTTGTTCTCCTTCACCTGGAGGGAGAGGGCAGGCGACGTGAGGCTGTGCCCAGCCCTGCTCCAGCTCCTGCCCCGCATCCCAGCACGCCGCATCCCGGTGGGACAGATCAGGAGGGGCCCCAGCCCTCCTCACGGCCGGCCAGGATGGAAAACCCCGCCGGGCACCACCATCTCCATTCCCGGCCCGCGCTGCCCCTGTTCCGGTGCACACCGGGCACCCACCCCCAGCCCCGGCACCGACCACCGGGACACTCTCCCGCTCCCGGACCCCAGCCCAAGCAGCCGCGCCCGGGCTGCCCAAGGGCTCTCGGTACCGATCCGCACCGCCCCCGCCCGCCCGGTGCCGGCGGATCTCTCTCACCAGCCGGTCCTTCTCGAGCAGGAAGACGCTGGCGGTCTTGTCGAAGGAGCCGGAGGCGAGGCGGCGGCCGCAGCAGCTCCAGGCCACCGAGTGCACCTTGGCGCCGTGCGCCGGGAACTCGCGGCTGCGCGTGTTGGCGCGGAACAGCTCCTGCATGGCCTGCACGTAGGGCGACACCGCCATGGCGGGGCCGCCGCCACCGGCACCGCCGCCGCCGCGCGCGCCCCGCCCCGGCACCGCGCCTGACGCCACTTCCGCCGCCCCCCCGCGCCCGGCGCGGCCCCTCCGGCGGAGCGGAGCCGGCGCCCGCCGCCGCGATGGACGACAGCGTGGTGCTCGTCAGCGATTCCGACTCGGAGGGCGCCCGCTCGCCGCCGCCCCAGCCCCGCCGCTCCCAGCACTCGCTGCCCAGCCCCGCTGTGAGTCCGCGGCTCCCTCCGGGCACGGCGCCCCCGCCCCACACAAGATGGCGGCGCTGCCATGGCGGGCAGGGACGGGGGCCGCGCACGGACGAGCAGCCTCGGGGGCAGTGGAGGGGGTGGCCGTGTGTTCCCCGGTCCCGTCCCGTCCCGGCCGCCTCCTCAGGGAGCTCCCACCCTCTTCCCAGCCGGGCTCGGGTCGCCGCGGGCGCCTCCCGCCAGCAGAGCCCCGTTCCACAAGCGCGCTCCCCGCAGGGGTCCCGGTCTCCTTGGCCATATACCCTCAGAAAGAGCCCGGTGCCTGCCATAGCGTGTCGCGGTGCCCTCGCTGCACCCCGAGAAGGGTCCGGCCCTGCAGGGCTCAGCCCCCGGCGGGGTCGGGATGCCGTGGGGCGGCTGCCGCCCCTGCTCCCCGTGCCGCTCCTCGGCCCTGCCCCGCTCCGCCGGCGGCTGCGGGGCCGGTGGGGCCGTGCGGCGGCGGTTCCGGCACGAGGCTCGGGCCCGGCGGGGAAACGGTCCCCGGTCCCGCACCGCTGTCCCGGGTCCTGAGGCGGTTGGAGCCCTGCACCTCCCTCCTTCCGCAGCTCCTCTTGCGTCCTGCAGCCCGCTGGGCTTTGCCCTCTCCTGGGGAAGGCAGCAGGTTTGGGCCGGGGGAGGAAAGTGGATTTAAATTCTCTGCTAAACGTGTTCGCTGCTTTGACGTGCTGAGGCAGACTTTTTTTTTCCCAAGAACAAACAGGCTGTGACCCCTCCTGGGCCTGCCAAAAGCTTGGGAAGTGCAGTGTGTGGTGTGCTGCTGGTGCAGGCACAGCTGCCTCCCTTGCTGCCCCTCGGAGCCTGCATTGCCCAGCGAGGCCCAGATGGGAGTCCCCAAAGTGTCAGGGTCGCTATCGGTGCCACAGATCAAAAGGCAGCTTTGTTTCCTGCCACTCCTGTCCTCCAGAGCAGGCAACGTGACACAGAAGAGGTGGCAGGGTTTGGATCCTGTGCTGTTCCTGTATCCAGTGCCTGGGTACAGGAGAGCTCCCTGTGCTTCCATTGCCCTCCCTGGACATGGCAGCAGGACTGGCATTTCCCTGTGGTGGGAAGGAGCTGAGCAGGCAGCCAGGTCTGCTCTGAGCCAAGGCACGAGGACATGAGCTCTGAGGGGAGTGGGGAAGAGCCTGGGTTGGCTCAGGCTCAGCTGTGCTGCCAGGGGAGGCTGATCCCAGAGCTCAGGGCCACAGTCCCCCTTGGACAAGCAGAAGGGTCTTTGCCCCTTTTCTAGGCTGTGCCCTTTTCCCTCTTAGACTGGGACTACAGTGCCACCATAGCAAGGGCTCCTGGCAGGACAGGACATTGACACTGCTGCTCTGTCCCCACAGGAGATCATTGACCTGACCTGTGAGGATGCAAACTCAGACCCAACGGCGTCGAGCAGCCTCGCCATCATCGACCTGACTGAGGACATGTGCAGCCTTCTCCATTCCACCCCTGGTGCTCCTCAGAACTCCAGAAATGCTGCCCCAGCAGCACACACATCCCACGCCCAACTCTGCCCCACTGCAGAAACACAGGCAGCGCCAGAGCCAAGCCGTGCACCAGCATCACACAGCACTTCAGAGAAGCTCAGCTCCACCATGGTCACAGCAGAAACCATGGAGAACTGCAGCGGCCTTTTTCCTGTCTCTAGGCACCACAGCCGGAGCCTAGAGCAGGATGACAGCACTACTGCCTTTAACAGCAGCTTGGACTCAGAGTCAGACTCAGACTGCCAGTCCCCATCTCCCCCAAGCCTGGACAGCAACAGCAGCATGGGAGCTGATGGCCCAGAGAACGATCCTCCCCAGCCCTGCCTGAGGGAAAGGAACCTCCCCCCAAGGCTGAGTCCTGCCCCAACCATTCCTGTAACAACAGGAAAGCCCCAAAGGTCTTTGCCAGAAGCAAGTGACTTCCCAGCACACCAGCCAATCCAGCAAGCTGCCCCAGCCAGGACTGATGCTGACAGCAAGGCCTTGCTGGATAAACTGCACAACTTCCGCAGGAGTGGAGTCCAGCACCTCTTCCTCCAAGGCATCACACCCAACAGGGAAACACAGAAGGTAAACAGGGTTTGGAGCAGCCCCTGCTCCCCTTTGCCAGGCAGCTGGGGGCTCTGGTTATTGCAGTTCCCTTCACAGTGGGCCCCACATCACAGCTGGGTTTCTCTGTGTCTGGGGAGCTTTCACCCATTGTCTTGCCTTGCACACAGCAGAAACCTGGGCTCATCCCCAGGGGGAAGCTTAGCATGGTGCACACCACCATGGAGGAGAACATCCTGGAGGACACCTTGTGTTTCCTGAACGAGTTTGTCTCCTGCCAGCACCGTCCCCCCAAAGAAATCATCTGCCACCTGATCAAAGAGATGCTGTTGGACACCCATGAAGGGGAGGTCCTCAATGACATCTACGCACTGCTGATGAAGATCCAAATGTATGTGTTCCCCTTGTCCCAGAGCTGGCTGGGTGTTCCCAGGGGTCTGCCCAGCCTAAGGGTTATTCTCTGTGGGGCTCACCCACAGAACAGGGAGTGATTTCCCCTATAACCCAGGATAATCCTCCTGCCAACACAGGCACACCCTGAGCTCTCTGAGGGTGGGTCAGGGACAGCTTGTGACACAAGGGAGCCCCTGGGGACAGAAGAGTGTGTTTGCTTTGCCCTGAAGCACAGGTCTCATTTTTCACTGCTTTGACATGGCAGAAGTGCCTTCCCTGGGCTGCAGCAGTGCCAGCAGTGGCTGGAGCAGCTCCCTCAGGCTACCCACAGAGAGGTACAATGTTTTATGAGGCCACAGATGTAGGAGTCCTGGGCATCTCCCTGGAGTATAACCCCTGTCTGGTACTTCCAAAAAATTAAATGTGTTATGGGCAGGAGAAGGGGTGAGGGCAAAGATGGAGAGGGGAAGGCAGGGAAGGTACCTGAGCAGGTGGGACTGGGAGTGGCTGGGGAAGGGGTAAGAGGCTGTGCCTCCAAGGGGAGGGTCAGGCAGTTCAGCACAAATGGACATGGCTGTCCTTGCAGGCTCCATCCAGCCAACATCACCACGGTGGGATGGGACTGGACACTGATGAAATTCATCATGGAGCAGCAGGTACTTGGCACCTTGTGTGTCACGGGGGGCAGGGATCATCCAGCACGCGCTGCCTAAGGGAGGGTGAGTGTTCCTAAATGCTTCCTGTGGCTGTGCTCTGCTGCAGAGCTGGCCAGTCTAACAGTGAGTGCCAGCTGGGAATCCCACATTCATCCACAGTGCTCCCTTACTCGGCACAGTTTCAGGCAGTTTGTCCCACTGAAGAAGGTGCAGATAAACTCTGGGTCACAGCACCAGTGCAATGCCCAGCAATGCCCCTCAGGCAGCTCCTCCTACAGCTACTCCTCAATATGTACATCAGTACACTCCCAAGCCAGCCAGCTTCCCTTGTGTCCCTGGGCCTGTGGTCCCACCAGACTCACATGCTCTCCCTCTGCCCCCAGGAGAAGCCCCCTGGCTGGCTCCTCTTCCTGCAGTACGTGGTACAGACCCTGGAGGATGACTTCCAGCACAATCTGAAGTCATACCAGCTGCAGAAGTCAATTGCCAAGAAAGTGCTTTCATGTGACTTGTGCTTCAACAATGTCAAGTAAGGGACACCTCCTCCTTGTTGTCTAACCAGAAGCTCAGAGGCAGGGCCTTAGGGAACATTTGTCAAGACTCCAGCCAGAGTTTCAGACTTTCCAAGAAGCAGACTTGGGAGACCAAGGGAAGCATAGGGCCAGCTATAGGGACTAGGAAAATATTTACAAAAACAAACTACCACAGGTGATGCAAGGCCTTTCCAGTCACAACTGAGTGGGCTTTTTCCAGGGATGAGGTCAGACGTGCACTGCTCAGGACAGGACTGAGAAGGAGGCAGTCTGTAGGCAAGTGTACAAATCAAGAGAGCTCCTTTGTTGAGCTGCTCAACAGAGCTACTTCCTAACCTGTCCAAGTGGGTGGAACATAGTCTTCATAGTCAGGGCCTTTCCTCCAGTTCCAAGTGGATCTAGAGGTCAGAACACAGCAAAATGAGGCACATCCCCAATAAAATTCTTGTTTCTGTTCCAGGGAAGTGGTCAATTGGTTGGTGGCAGCAGTTACAGGAATTGGGTTCTCCCAGCCCCAGGAACAGCTGCAAGAAGCCAGGACTGGACACAGATCATCTTCACCAAGGCTGGCCAGCACTCAGACAGAACAGGCCCAGACAGCTTTCTTTGCCCAAAAGTAAGCTCCAGAATTCCAAACTCCCTGCTGGCATTATCACGGACCCAAGTCAGGCAGAAGCCAGAGTCACTCTCTCGCTGTCAGCTCAGGGAAGCCAGGCTGTACCTGTGACCAGCTTTGCTGGTTCTTCTTTGAGTTAAAGACTTGGTGAGCAAAAGACTCTCATGTGGTAGAAAGCTGGCTCAGTGTCATCCTCTTGCATGCAGTGCAAGGCTGGAGCTTGTGGCCTGCAGCTCAGGCAGCCCCATGCTGCTCCCACACTCAGGAGAGCCACCAAGACTTCCCAAGGGTCAATCTGGGGATGAGCTTTGCTTGCAAAAGCATCAGACTCAGAAGCCACCAGGAGACACCAAACCTGGCCCACTGCATTCCCGTACCCCTCACAGCACGAGGCTGAAGCAGGGGCCATCCCCAGGCTTTGCTTGGCAAGCTGAGGGGCAGAGCCCCCTGTGCTGACTGTCCCCTCTCACCCAGGACAATGCTCCTGCTCCAGAGGATGTTGGCCGTGGCAGTGGAGGTGGACAGATCTCCCACCTGCACCTCCCGCAAGATTGCAGACGACATCTTCCCCTTCATGCTGAATATCCCCCTGAGGAGCCAAAGGTGAGACAAGCATGTGCAGGGCAGCATTTGCCTGTGTGATTAATTATCTTATTCCCAATTTACATCCAAGTGTGGATGCACAAAGTTCTAGAGGGTATAGAAAGGCCAGGCAGCAGGAGCGTGGCTGTGTCTCCCATGGAGATGCAGCATCACCAGCTGAGCAGTGATGTGTTGATGGAAACACACCCAGGTGGTGTGCTGCTGAGAACAGTCAATTCTCCCACTTGTAAAGTTGTGACCTTAAAACTGTAAGGAGGGTCTGAAAAGCAGTACTGTGCAGCACAGCCAAGCACTGGCAAAGACATCACTGATTCCCATGGGCCACCAGGTAGTCAGAAATATGATGCAGTTCCTACAGCTTTGCCTTGACCTTCTTTGTTTGCTTCTTTAAGAAATTCAAATGTGAAGTGAAAGTACAAGGGAGTGAAGAGACCACTAAGCCCCCAAGCGTTTCAAACCCATCTTTCAATGCCCAGCAAGCAGCCCTTGACATCCTTTCAGCAGAACTCTGTGCACACACCAGGTACAAACCAAGCCAAACTGACTCTAACCAAGGTGTCACTTTGCCCAGGACAGATATCAATCCTTCCAGCCCTGACCCCACGTCACCCTTGCTTGGCTGGGATCCCTGCAGATCAGCAGCCATGAGCCACAGCCACACAGGCTGCTGGGCAGGGTGCAGTGAAGCAGCTCAGTTTGCTTTAGAGACTCTGCTCACTTCCAGCTGCTGCAGGTCACACCTGAGGATGAAAACATGGCCAACAAAGGTCTCTCACCACATCTGGTGGTCTTCCTTCCAGGCCGTGGCTGGGTAGCCCCTGCAGTCACCCCACATCTGCACTAGGTCAGCAGGAGCATGCTGGAACAGTTGTCTCTGGTCAGGCTGTGCTGTCTCAACCAAAGTAAATTCCTTTTGTGTTCCAGGGAAGCTTTATTGAACACCATGGAGAGCCAGCTCCTGCGCTGCAGACTGCTGGAGCTGCTACTCCAGCATAGTTGTGATGTGCCCACAACCGCATCCATGTCTCTGGACAAGGTTCTGTATTTCCTGAGCCACTCCTCTGTGCTGCCACAGTTCCAGGTATCCAGTCCAACCCCTCCTTTGACTTTTTTTTCCCTCTGAGAAAACTTCTAACAACCAAATACTGTCTTCTGTCCTAGGATGAAACAGCAACGTGGCAAAGGTGGGATGAGATGCTGCAGTACTTGTGTTTGCTGCTGCTGAGTTACCACAGTGTAAAACTGGGTAAGCAGTGCTTGTTCTGGCCCTAGTAGTCTCAATCAAGAGGCTGCAGCAGAACAGCCAAATTCCTCTTCCTCCTCTCATCACTACTGGACTCATGGCCAGTGAATCTTAGTAAGACAGCATGCCTCTCAGGGAGAGTGAGACTTTGCATATGTGCCATGAATGAATGCAGAGGAATCCACCATCATATATGCAAAGTCTCATTCCCCCTGAACTCCTAGCTAATAATCACTGTTGTTGGGCTCTTTGAAGACTCCTCTGCAGCTGCCCATTTTGCCATTCACACAGAAGACAAGGATTATACAAGCCTTGTCCCTTCCCCATTCCCTGGGCTCTCTCTGCATGCCAGATGAGCTCCAGGAGGGGCCAGTTCCTTCTTCCCAAAGTCTTGTGCAGAACCATGGAGGATAACAAGAGGATCAATCCCATTTCCAGCACTGCCTGTGGCACACTGGGTCCATCCCAGCAGCTCAGGCAGCCCTTTGGGTGCTGCCTCTCCCCAGCAGCATTTCCTCTTTCCTCAGAGCACCTGCGGACCTCTATCAGCGACCGGATGAAACTGATTGCTCAGAGAGCCAAGGCCAGGCTCCAGGACAGTGATGACATCAGCCAGCTGGACATTCAGCTGAAGATGAATGACTTCATCAGCAGAATGCAGAAGACCCTGGGGGGGCCTTTTCCCCCCCAAATTCAGGAGAAATTGTTCATGCTGCAGGAGTTGTTCTTCATTGTCGCTGCTGCCTGATGGAGACAACCACTGCAGCAAGGGGGACAAAACTTCATGTTCTCCATATAAACCCCCACATCTCATACTGCAACCTCAGCATCATGAGGTTGGTTTATACAGTTCTTTTGAAAGATTTTTGGTTTATACTGTCTCCAAATTTCCATACAAGTTTGCCTTGTTGTGCAGTTTTGTAAAGCACTTTGTACACTTTAAAAAGGGGAGTTTTTTTCATGTTTGCTAAGACACTTTTGTCTTGATGCCAGCACTGCCCAAAGGAAGTATTTGCCCCAATCAATCCAGCAGAAACTGTTCAAGCTGCAGTTGTTCTTCACAGTCACTGCTGCCTGATGGAGACAACCACTGCAGCAAGGGGGCAAAACTTCATGTTCTCAATATAAACTCTCCCATCTCATACTGCAGTCTCTGTAAATTTTAAAAAAATAAATTCTTTTCATGTTTGCTACGAGTCTTTAGTCTTGGTGCCAGCTCTGCCCAAAGTCCAGAGCTCTGTCAGATCACACCACAAGGCCATGCTTTAAACCCCAGCCTTCCAAATCCATGAGATTGACCTGTATAATCAGAACCACAGCAGCAGCTGTACCTCAGTACCTGAGTCTGTTCCATGACTCTGAGCTCAGCTACACTCCAGGAGCACCAGCATTCAGAGCTTAGGCTTCCCCAGCCCAGGTGAATCATCCTCCATCAGCAGCACTTTAAAGGGCAGCTAAAAACACTACAACAGCACCAAAGGGGAACTGGACATCTCTAGGGAAACACCAGACTAATTCCCACACCTGTGCCCACCTCCACAGTACAGGTGGAAACAGCACACAAGCAACAAGAGACAAAATCTCAGGAACATGAATTTGGATTGCTTAAAAAAACACCAAATTGTCAAGTTTAGTTTCACCTGCACAAGCCCTAAGACAGAACTAAGCCTGGCTGTAAACCCAATCTCCCTGTGAAAGGGGAGTGTATGGGCAAGTATTTCACCCTAGAGAGGTGCTGCCAGAGCCTTATCCACCAGAACCTCGACCCCACACTCACTGGACAGCCCCAGATTTCTCCCACAGATGCTGTGCCAGCACCAACACACACTGTGAACCTCCATTCCACAAGGATTTTATTGTCCTGTAACAAACAAAACAAACATACACATTAGGAGACATGAATACAGTCAACAAATAAATTAATGTCAAATGAGAGCCTGATTGCCAAGGTGCAAATGAGTGGTGACAGAACTGCTGGTTTGGTGGGGAACTTTCACACAACACATCACTGGCAGTGCTGCTGAAGCTCGAGAGAAAGCAGTGCTACAAAATGTGCTGCTCAGAGGGGCCAGCAGCCAGCCAAGGCAGCCTCAGGGAGAGTGTTTGGTTTAAGTGAGAATCTCCAGAGCTCAACAGTTACCAGCTGTTAAGGAACTTCTGTAGAATGTCCTGGCAACAGAGAAGCTTCCACCTCCAGATGCAAGGCTGCTGCTGGCGGAGGGACTCTGCAACACCATGGTGAGACCAAGAGCAGATCCATTTGCCACAGCACAGGTGAGGATTGCAGAGCAATGCTGCCTATCATGCTTAAGGGATTAGATGGTAGGCAGGAGGTCCTTCCACTTGCCCTGAAAGCTGGTGTTAGCTGTTCCCAGGAACTGGTTCAGACTAGGTTAGGGATCACATCCAGCTGGACCTTAGCAGGGAGGAATGTTCAGCCTTGGTCTGCCCTCAGTCCTTCCCCAGCCCTGCAGAACACACTTAATGCTGATAAAACACAATACCCTGTCTGAAAAGTGTTCCCAGTGTCTAATACATTCTATACAATTCCAGGAGGAAAAACCAAACCAACAAAAACAAATCAAGCAGCATCCAGAGTGCCAGAACACGTGCAAATCTGCTGTCTAGGACACAGGATAGGGCTGTTTTGCAGAACAAAGAGAGGATTACTTGCTTCAAACCACACCAGCTTTGATTACTTCCACCTTCTTAGAGAAACATGAAGAGTTGGAAGAAAATTAATTCTTCCTCATTACTTCAAAGCTCCATTAGATTCTGCTCTCTGCCTTTCCAATGAGAGCATCTTAGAATAGTCACTAGTCCCTTTTCCCTTTAAAAAACACTCCAAGAACAAAAAACGTGGTCACACTGGATAGTGAGGGAGTGCCACATTTATACTGACCTACCACACCCCCCATCTTCCTTCTGGCAGTTGATGGTCCAGTTTTCAGTCCCTGCTTGTTCACATTGCTTTCTGCTTGATCTCTTGACAGAACCAGTCCTCCTGTGGGTCCTTCAGCACTGAGCAGGACAAGACAATCAGATTCCAGGCATAAAGCCAGGTGCTCACACACCACATGGAAACCTGTCCAAAATAAACAGGCTCAGGGTTTCACTGTGGTGGGGTGTACTGGGAAGCACTGGCAGCCCAAACCAGTGCAGTGCAGCAGACAGGACGGTTTACATTGGCTTAGGATAGTGCAAGAGTTTTTCCAAGACTGGCTTTAGCAGGACAATCAGGACTGTTTCTTTTTCTGAGATGAAGAGCTGGAAAAGGAGCCTTTCCTACTTTAGTGCAGCACACAGGACAGGGAAGCAGAGCCTAAGACACCCTGTAGCCTGCTAAAGACACTGGAAGCTTTCCTCTAGAACCCAGTGGGAGTGAGCACGTTCAGATCCCGAGGTTTGATATTGTGGGAACGTGGAGATTGTTTCCTCCCATCTGTGCCTGGAATGTCCATTTTGGGTGGCTTGAAGGTGCCTGGATCCTCTGTCATCCTTGTAGCCTGAGCACGCATCAGCTCCATTGGGGAGGGCTTCTGGGCACCCTTATAGGACTGAATGGTAAATCCTCCTGATGAAAAAAATCACAGTAAAAACAGGAAAACCAGTCAAATTCCCTTCCTACTGCTGCCAGGAGTGAGCAGTGTCACTGACACTCAGCACCACAGACAGCCTATGCAAATTCCAGCAGCTTTGTATGATCTGAAGCCTATTCCACATCAGGGGAGGGCACTTCCAGTCTTGGCTGCATCACATATCAGAGAAAGAGCAAAAAGCTGTCACCCTCACACCCTGCCCCTCCCACTGCAGCTCACTGCAAGTTATTTCTACTTGCAGATCCTTGGCACAGGTTTTACCCAACTGCTCTATATTTAGGCACAGAAATTCTATGACTAACACACATTCCCAAGGTGGTCCTGGGGAGTAGCAAGGCAAGCAGGAAAGGACTCCAGAAAGAGCCAGCAAGTCTGTTGTGTGACAGTTCCCCCATTGCTCTTGGCAAGGCAGATTTTCAAGGACATACCTGCATCACTGACTGATTTCTGGACAGCTCTGGGTCCAAAAAAGCTCCATCTCTCAGATCTGTCCCCACCACCTTCCATAGCAAAGTCTGAGCCAGTGATAGAAGTAGAGGATCCCTGACTAAACCAACCCCTAAGGAAAAAAAAATAATTGAGATGTTTAAAATGTGAGAATAAATACTTCAAGTGACCCCACTATGCCAGGAAATTTTCATGTAGTCAAAAGGGACAAATTAAAAAAATCTTAAGAGGTTTGTTACCACCCAGGAAAAGCTATGCATGCTTAAGTTCTAGAGGCTTCCAACTTTTGGATCAGCCTAACACAAATCCTCACCAGGCTCTGAATTTCACCCTGTGCAGTCCCTCACAGGATAGGAAGGGTATTTGCAGCAGCTCCCACCCCAGCAGCCTGCAGGAAACCAAAGGAGGCAGAGTACCTGTTTCTGTGCCTGGGGGAGGAGTGGGGGGTGCTGCTTGGAGTGGACTGAGCAGAAGAATTCTGTTTGTCATCTTTTGTTGTGTCTCCATTCTGCATTTTTAGGTTCTGTCAGGAGAGGCAAGAGAAACAAGCAACACAGCTTAAATATTGGACATGAGGAACAACACCCAGGTTTTTTTTACCAAAACCAGACTGATAAATTGTTTTTATCACAGGTGATAAAGATAAGTGTCACCACACCTAAAGTTGTATCCAGTATTACAATACCTGCATACATCCCCTTAAATTTCTCTTCACATCAAATATTAGCATTTTTAAAGTTCTTTTAGGCTACAGAAAGGAACACCAGCCCTCATAGGGAGGTTGTGGATGCAGCAGAGCTCACTTCAGCTACCTGGTAACTGCTCTAAATGCCACAGCATCCATTTGTTTCCAGCACTAATCAGAGCAACAAAGCTTTCAGTTGTCTAATGAGGCTGAGACCAGTTCTCACAGAAGGCACAAGATCAGGAATACCAGACCCTGTGAAGCAATTAGTGTACACCAGGATGGAAACACTGCCCTGGAACAGAGATGAACCTGGGCAGAAAACAAACAGGAACTGCCTGTATGCAAACCATGTTATTTACAAGCTGGACAGTTCAATCTGAACTTTGAAGAAGTCATTTGAAGGGCAGTTACAGTTCAAACACAAAACACACAGGGCACCCTGTAATGTTTCCTGTGGCCACTCAAGCCACACTAATGCAATTCATGGACGCAGGCACTGAGACTTTGGCCTCCTGGGAGGACACTGCAAGGGTTGACCATTAAACTCCAACTGCAAAATTTTTTTAAGAGCTCAGCAGCCCACAGTAACAGCTTCATTCAAGACTTTTGTTTTCACTAAGACACATCTGGTAACTTCCACAATGGAAATGTACACTTTACAAGTTCTCTTTGCACACACAGTTGCAGAATTCAACTGCAGGGCACCAGTGAAAAGTACAGCAAGAAATTCAGTTGTGTAGGGTTGTCCCCAGTTGGAAAGACAACTGTCATAGCTTGATATGACAGTGAAATGGGACAGATCTGAGAATAAAAAAGCTGTTTCAAAACTACAAAGGCTAATGTTAATTTTAAAATACAATTGGGTAAACTTTACTACACAATGAGCTAAAAGCCTTCAGAGGAAGCAGCTTAAGGAAAGTTTTAGCAACACACTCCAGAAGTTCTGTCAGCAGGTAAATGTTAAACCAGACCCATCCTACACAGAGAAATGCAGTGGAAAACAAGCCTTACATGGACTGCCTCAGCCACCCGGTGGTACTTGGTCTCCTCAGTGGTGAGGCCTTTGTGGGGTGTGTAGCCAGCTTCCCTCAGCCCTGCCTGCTGCTCAAAGCGCTGGATGCTCTCCTGAGTCTGCTCTGGAACACACAAGAGCACAAAGTCACACAGGAATGCCACCACAAGCAGTTCTAGCAACTGAATGTAAACTCTTTTTCATCCTTCACACACTGCAACAAGCTGAGGCAGAAAGATGTAGCTGGTGAGATATTCTGACCTGCCTGAGACACAGGGCTAAGGGAGATGAGCAGTGATTTGTGTCCCAAATCACCAAACATACCACAAATGCAACACCTCTAATTAATCCCATCTCACCCCAATACTGCATCACTCCCACTCACAACTCCATAAATCCAGGAGAACCCAATAAATTGGACACTTTAAGTGGCTCACTGCATTCAAGGGAGCCTTGCAGGTCATGTTTTAAAGACTCCCAGTGATTTTAGACCAGGTAAAATAAGCCATTTCAGGCAGACACAGAGCCAGCATCTAATACACTGATAACAGCTTCAGTTCTGAAAAACACAAGCACTCCCTGCAAACCCCAGCATAAGATGTTCATTCCCTGGTGGAACAAGGAGAAAAGTCAAAAGGAATAAGAGCACAAAAAGATTGGTGGAAAAGCCCAGTGCCTTCTTTAAACCAGATAACAATCCCTGTGTTTTGTAGCTGCTGAAAGAAGAGGCAGCATGGACAGATTAACACAGAAATAATTCCTCTTACTGCAGAAGGACACATCTTCTCTGCAAACATTACTGACCCCATTTTATTTTAAAGCATCATGGTTCATGTTTAGAAGTGTTGCAGTTAGCAAGGCAGCTGCTGCTATTAACAACATCAATGGCAGCAAGTGCTCCATTAGCACAGTGTGTCAGCTCCCCTCACTGCCTGGGTCAATGGCAGAGCTCTGCCTGTCACCCAGAAATAGTTAATAAGAGTTAATAATCAAACAGAGCAGCAGCAGCCTCTGCACCCCAGCAACATGGACTGTCAGCAAACAACAAACTCTGCACTCCTTCCCCACCCCTGCAAACACACAAGCACCACATGTGGCCTCTTCCCCAGTTCCTTGCTTCCTTCCAGAAACGTCCTCTGAAAAAAACAAACTCACAGAGCACCAGAGCAGAGCCAGTCTGAAGCCAAGAGCTCTCCAGGAATTACCCTGAGGCATCACCAAGCTGGAGCCCCCTCAGTGCCCAAGCCACACAGGAGAGAGTAGAGGTGAGCTCTTACTTGTGATGAGGGAGTTCATGATGATGTGAGTGGCCTTGGCCTTCACCACAGGCACCTTGTTCACACTTTCAGTGGATGATGAAGGAGTTATGACAGGCTTCATGTTGGCCTCCCCTTCCTCATCCTGTGGAGAAGCAGCAGGGACAGTGTGAGATGGGGATCTCAGCACCTGGCAAGGACACATCTCCAACTACACAAGTGAGACAAGGTGCTGCTCTGGCAGCCAGCCTTCATCCCATGGGAGCAATCCCTGGGCTGTGCACACTGCAGCAGGAATGGTCAGAACCTCAGAATTCACGGCAATGAACAAGTGATTTCCATCCAACATCTGAGCCCCTACCAGGCTCAGGGCAAAAAAGCTGTTAGCCCAAGTACAACAAGGTCAACAGGCAAGAAACCAGAACATCTGTTCTTCTCCTAAATGCAAACTGGACTTCAAGGTCAACTGGGCAAAAGCACCAAGAGCACCTTCCCAGGCAGCTCAAGCACCAGCTGTTCACAGAATGGCAGTCACAGAGCACAGCCTGGAGTGAACAAGTTGTTTTCCCCCCTTATTCCTTACATGTTTCTTGCTCAGTGTGTCTGGTGGTCATAGATCAATCACTAGACCCCAGCAAAGAAACAGAAAAGAAATGCTAGAAAACAAAGTATCCTGTGAAACACTGACTTCCTCCAACCAACACTGGAGCTCCCTACTGGAGAGTCTATTTTTTTGTGCCAAACCACAACTTCTGGTTGTCTCCAACAAGAGATTTAAAAAGCAATGAGGTTTAAAGTAGAGGTAAAAGCTCAAAGAGATACAGAATTACATTCTTCCATCCAACAACACTTAGCTTAATTTCAAACTTAGAAAACAGCCTCTAAATTTAAAAGGGCTGGTCCCGCACTCAAAAGCACAGAATCCCAGAAAGGTTTGGTTTGGAAGGGATCTTAAATATCGTCCAGTTCCAACCTCCTGCCATGGTGGGGGGGACACACAAGCTGCTCTGAGCAGCTTGTTCAGAGCTCCTTGAACACTTCAAGGGATGGAGCAGCCACAGTTGCCCTGTACAAACTGTGCCAGTGCCTCACCACCCTTACAATAAAGGATTTACATCCAGCCTAAACCAGCCTTATGCTCTACTTTAATTACACCTGACTGCTGGGGATTTTTTTAACCACAAACACGGAGGAGAGGCTCAGCACACGTTTGCCCCATCCGCACCTCCATGTGCCCACTGCAAGGCCAGGCAGCACTGCCGGGGTCTGTCCCCAGCCCCTCCCGAGGGTCCTGCTGCGAGGGCAGGAGGGTGCAAGGACGGGGGGATGCCAGGG